CGGCGACAGGAAGATGTCCAGCTCCGGGGCGGCATGGTGCCGCATTGAGTGATTGTTATTGTTGCCGGTGGCCATCGCAGAAGTGTCGATGTGGATCTCTCCCAAGCCAGAGGCGCTGCCAGAGCCGGTGCCTCCACCCGCCGATGGTGCGCCCGATCCGCCATTGGAATTTCCATTCGCCCCTCCCCCGCCGCTCTGGAGATCCTGGAGGGCTGCTGTCTGGACGCTGCTGTTGCCGGTCGTATTGTGGAGATTCATTACAAAGGCGCTGCCGTTGAATCTTGTCGGCAGCTTGTACTCGCCTCCGCCACCCACTCCATGGTCGTCGAAGGGCAGCAGATCCTCAATCCGGGGCATCATCTTGCGGTTGGCATACGGATTCTGGTTCATGTCGATGCGATGCACCGAGCGCAGCATCTCCAGCTCCCATCCATCCCCGTGGGCCAGCTCCAGCTGCGAGTCCCAGCGGTTGAGCAGATAGTCCGGATTATACTGCAACAGGCTAAGGGCCAAGGCCAGCTGGAGCATCCGCATGGCGTGTGATTTTTTATTTGAGATCATTTTAATGAGGTTTCTGTTTTGTTTTTACCCTGAGGTTACAAATGCTCCGCGGATGCTTGGATGCGTGGGTGGTACGCGAGGTCTCCTCCACTTTTCAGCCCCCCGGCCAGACAACAGCTCGATGGCTGCGTCGTCCGGGATGGACAGCCGTTCAATGACGCTTCCCCTCTGCCTGCCTCCGCTGCACGCTGATTTCTTTTTTTGCCACACGTCCAGAGAAATCTCTGCGCAAAATTAGCAGAACAGAACAGAACAGAGCAGAAAATATATTCTTTTCCGATCTGTGATTGCCTGAATCGCAATAATATCTGTGCGTGCCTCCTCTTTAATTGATGGCTGTCCTCGTGTTTGTTCTGTAAGTAGCCACAAAAATAAAATGGAGTTAGTAAAAGCATAACAAATGGTTAAATATAAATAAATACATATATGTATGTACATGGTCGATGCAATTTGAATTTTCAATGAGAAATGCTTTTGTTTCGAGTGGCAGATCGGCCTTTGTCACGTTTGATGCGAATGGAAATTGGCGACTGTTCTGCGGTTATGAGGAAATGATGCGAAGAAAGTATTGGTTTCCGTGTATGGGTGATAGAATATCTACTATCTCCGTCTCTCATTCTCATTCTCTAGAGTTTTAGCTTGCGAATTCTATTGGTTAGAGTGAGATGTTTATTTGGTGTTGAAATTGGACTGCTTGCACTTGAAAGAAAGCGCACTGCTTGTTAGAGGATTCACGTGGTAAGAGTGAGAGGTGAATAGTACTTTCTTTTGACAGAAAGTAAACTGCTTGAAGCAACAGTTATGGCTACTTCCGTTGAAGCATAAAATAGCACTAATACCAAGAACGAAGCTTGAGGTTAGGAAAAGAACGAACACATGGAAGATCCCTGGAAGTCTAGAAGCGTTAATCGTGTTGTTTTTCTCTTCGAATGCACTCTCTTTTCCTTAAACTACGCATTTAATATGCCCATGCGTTGTCCTTGTGTGTGTGTCTCTTGCCTTTTATGTCCTCTATTAACTCCCACAACAAAATCAAGCGCAAAATCCAAAAAGGAATGACCCAGACCTCAGACACAGACACACACACGCACACACAGACAACCACCCGCCGGTGAACTTGAACTTGTTCAAGGTCTCTAGCGCGAAATGTTGCGCACTGCTGCTGCTGCCAGCCGCCAAGTGAAACACCCAATTCAAGGACGGACACAAAACACGCAGATAAAACAACAACAACAAAGAGCACACACCGAAAAATATGCCAACAATTCGTTAGAAGATATGAACTTTCTTTGTTTTAAGCAATTCGCAAAAAGGGAATCTTCACGGGGGTTGGGGAATGGGGTGGAAAAAAAGAAAATTAAACTTTGATTAGCGCAGAAAGACGCAAAACCAATAAAGACAATAAACACGAGGTGGGGCATATATGATATGATGGAATGTTTTTCTGAGGAATTGCAGACTTTTGCAAATGGCCCACCTTTCATGAATGCCCCCTGAACAAGCAGTTCTGTTCTCAATGAATTCAATACAAATACACAAATGCAAGTGTGCGAGAGTGGTGAGTGGGTGTGGGTGTGGGTGTGTGTGTGGGAGGGAGAGTGCACTCACCTTTTCTGTGCGGCAGAAATTTTTTTTGGCCCTGCCAAAAGGAGAAGATGCGCCGCTGCTGCCGATCTACAGCGGTAAAAGCTGCGACGCAGTAAATACTGTAGGTGATGCTGTAGCTCTTTCCTCCTCTGCTCTTGTTGCTGCGTCTGTTGAATGTTGAATGCAATGATGTGTGGCTGCTGCGGTTTACCGTTGCGGGGCACACAACCGCCGTTAGTCTTTTCACTCACTCTCCCGCTGTCTTTTTTCGGTTTTTGTTGCTTTTAATTTTTTTATATTTCACTTTCTTTTGCGTTTTATCGTTCAATTAATCAATACAATTTTATTTTTTGTAATTTCTGCAAGGCACAAAATATTAACACAAATACATTGATATTCCACACTGATTGAAAGAATAACACGTGTACGTCCTTGAACTTGGCCAAATTAGCTTTCTCTCTCTCACTTCGTGTGTTTCACACTCTAATTGATTTGCATTTACTTTCCATTATATATTTATAACAATTTGCGTTGTCTTTTCAATTTACAGCAAAAGCCGCCCTCTGCTTCTTCTTTCAGTCTGGCAGCACGCACTTTACCTCTGCCTCTCTGCATTTACATGCTTGTGCGTATGTGTGTTGAGAATGCGTGTCAGGCGGCTGGTGAAATCGTCAAAGTTTTGCTTTGTTTTGCCGTTTTTGTTGTCTAATATTATTAAGTGTGTTTTTTTTTGCCAGCATATTTGTTGTTTATTTCTTTGTTTGCTTTTATCGCTCGTTTCTTTGGTGCTTCGTCTGACTCACACAAGAACACACAAACACACACATGCATTTGACAACTGCTGTTTTTTTTTCTTGTCCATGCTCTCGCGTTTTGCTTTAAGCACACACACACACATATGTACACAGGCACAGTCGAATGTGCTGCGACACACACATTTATTAATGCATTTAATTAAATGCAAAATAATTGAATTTTTTATGTAGAATCAAAGCTTACACGCACACACAAAGCTCACACGTAAAGAGAAAATGTACGGGTACGAGAATTTCGAAACTTCGAGAAGAGGAGAGCGACAGTACAACAAAATAACAGCAGCGCCGCTAGCCCGGTCCAGCCTTTGCTTTGCACTTTGTATTAACAAATTATTTATCAAAGTGCTTTTTCGTGCATTCGCCTGGAGGTTGCAGCATGTCAGCTGAGCGTTGGGAGAGAGATAGTAGAGAGAGAGAGAGGCGGGCAGTTTGCTGAATAACTGTTGTTGCTAGCCTGTTGGTCGCCCACCACACCACCCACCACCCCAATGAGTTGCACTTATTTTGTGGGGCATGCAACATAACTATTTCAGCAGCCGAAACATGAAACGATTCCAGTAGTTCTCCATTTGTTATTAACGAAAAACAACACACACACACACACAGAGAGAGAGAGCACACTTGCCGCCTGTACTTCGCACTTTTACGCGTATTTCTTTCACTTGCAAAATTATTGCCGCATCCGCTTTATCAGCTCGTTCGCGTAACCTACGTGTTTCGTGGTTTTCTTTGAGAAAACGTGTTTGTTTTGTCACTCTTTTAGTGTGTTTGATTTGTTTTTTGCAATTTTCACCACGACGACGCGTCCGTCAGCGCGGATTTTGATATTTTGATTAAATTCACCATTCACCGCAGCTTTCGAGAGTCGCAACGTATTTATGGAGTATGGGCTTTTGTTTACCCTCTTTCCCTTAATTGATGTACAAATTATATTTTTCAGCTGCTGTGAACAATGACTTTTTCTCTTATTGATAATTTTTTGACCCTATTCAGATGGCTTTAAAATTTAAAACATATTTTTGCATACCTACTAAATATACAAAAAGTTAACAGAATGGCCATCGGAGTCAACACTTCATCACTCCTCTTTTGCTACCCAGCTCGCTGCCTTATTTAACGCAGGGAAATCGCTGAGGAAAAAGAGGTATGGACAACAGGCAACACGGCCCAGAAAATGTCACGAGACCAACGTAAAGTCCACCCCATTAGCTTAATATACTTTGTTATATTGGTGTATTGTTCGTTAAAAGCACGCCGAGGTGAGGTTCGACCGAGCCTTGCAATTTTCTTTAGCTGTTTTTGCCTGTTGTTCATACCTTTCCATGGTCTAGCGGTTCGATCAAACTAAAGAAAGCTTTTTTCCGCTCTCCCGTCTTATTTTTGCGTTGCATGTTTGAGCTAGTGGTTCGAGAGAAGAAGAGTGGAAAGAGCTTTGGGGGAGCTTTTTGGAAATAGTTGCTATGTCGATTGGGCGGCTAAAGTCTATCGTTTATTGAATATATAAATAATATATGGCGCATTATTCTATATGGGGAAGGGTTTGTTTATTAATTTATTCGCCTATATACAAAAAAAATTTATTAGAATTTAGTGATTGTTGTTCGAATTCATTCATTATGTGTAGCTAAAAAAGCATACACGTAACATTGGCGCCACCTATGTAATTAAATGTAGTTATGGCGTAAAAGTACATGTTTGGGACATGTGGCCAATAAAATTCGTGTAAAATTTCCATTTAAAGGCGTGTGCCGCCCAAAAAATATATATAATACATAAAATATAATGAGCCGAAATTTGTCCACATAAAAATTGCAATATTGAGATGGTCAGTGGCCATACGTACTTTAATATAATTGGGAATACCTTTGCCTAACATTATTGGATGACAATCAAACTTGATTAATCCATGGATAATATTGTAATAAAGCTGTGTTTCATATTCACCAAATTAATTAAGATTGATTATTCAGATTTCAGATCTCGTATCTTTTAGCGCTGTCGACATTTGTGCCTGTAATTATTGGGGGCGTGGCTTACCAGAGTCGTGAATTGGAATTCCCCTCGCCAGGTGAGGTTCCGGGTGGACTGTACCACAGGTGTGGGCGGGGTCTCCAGTGAGGGAGTAGAGGGCGTAGAGGCCACCGTGGGTTTAATCAATTTTGCCATCTTCGAAGGCGGTCCGATGGGCACTCGGACGGTGACCTTCTTCTTGGGATTGGGATCCATGAGGATGGGCTCCAGCAGGGTCTGCGGATAGTAATCATCGATGTCCCTCGCTGGGGAGAGGGACTGTAGTCGGGGTAGGTCCTCCAGGTCGATCATGATGGCGTCTCAGTCGTTCAATAATCGTGATGCAGAGGCAATGGGTCAACTAAAAACATGATTTAATTACTCTCTTGTGGCTATCTCTGGGCATAAATTAATGCTTTCACTGTTTGGTCGAGTCCTCACTGTACTCGCGCCATAAATATTTGATAAGAAACGCTCGCCCCGATCGAGCTATGTTAAACTTTCTGTTTATTTCTTGATTGCCTTTGCCATTTATTTTATGGTGGAGATTACGCACACGCACACCATCACAGCCATAGATAAGTACAGTGAATACACTCAGGCAAATATTCGCAGAAGTTACTCGCAAGATAAGCCGAAATATTGGGTTAACTATTGATACGGAAATTGATTGAATCCATCTGTATATACATATGTTTATTACTCATGCTAGGGCTGTGTACTTTCCGATCAGTTATCACTGTACTAATACACTACTTAGTGGCGCCCAGACCCAGACAATGCAAATTACAACAGCCAATTGTTTGCCGGCAAGAGTTTTTTGTCGATTAGATAAGGTTTTCAATAAATCTTGCCATGATTAAGAAGTGAAACCTATCGGAAATGCTTTCAAATTTAATGGCAACAAGTCGTGGCATAGCTTTGTATTTCAACTATGGGTAGTATTCCAATAATCGAAGGTCTTATCTGTCTTTCAAAGTGAATTTTTCCCTATGTGAATCATATATGTATGTATTTATGATCTATAATTAGATCTTCATATTTTTGTGAATTCTTCAACTTCTATCTACATTTGGTCTAGGGCTATTTTGAGATAATATGTATGTGCGGTTCCAATCGTTTGACATCGATACATAACTTCTATTTACAGTCGTAACTTCTTTGATTAGAACTTTCATGGAGTTCCCATGAGTCAGAGAAATAGCCAAAAGGAATCAGTGGAACTTTCACCGTATACATATGTATATACTTTTCCTTTTATCAATCCATTGTTATTGTCAAGGTTCCGACGGTACTTCTCGATATATGAATAATAGTATCTAGCAAAGCTTTAAATGTGTTTTATATATCTACACCATCGATCAATGATTATACCTAACCCATTTTTCATTTATCATTTGAAATTTCTCTATTTTTATTTTGTTGGCAATCAAGACCATCCTGAAGTTAAAATCCCCCAAATGTCTGCCCAACAAACGCTGTTCCATTAAGCTACTTACGAGTATTAACAATTATAACGCTCACTGGAACATTATTTTATGTGGGGTCTAAAGGTCTTTTCTGGGAATTCCCTCGTCTCTGGTTTTTAAGTGTATTTTGGCCAAAAAGTTAACCATTCGGAAAGGCTGAGATTTCTGGTTTACTACGTGACTCATCTGCCAAAAAAAAAACCAGTACAAAAAGCGAGTAAAGTGGACAGACGGCTCAGTACTGTCTGGGTCTGTCATCTTCTCAAGTTCCGAAAACAGAGAGATGACGAAAAAGAAGCGATATTGAGAGAGAGAGAAAGAAGATAGAGACGGGCTGGAAATGAAAGTTTCTAGAGATCAAGGGAATTTCGAGAAATTTAATTAATACATATTTAAGGGTTTGATATGTCTAAGAAATACCAAGGAAGATGACCACTTAAAAAGTGTTCCAGGTAGTAAATAGGAAGATCTGGTAAAAAATCAAAGCCAGAGCCAGCAAAGAGAGATATTGCCCCCAAGACAGCTTTCACTATATTTCGATTAAAGTTCAAAAAACGCTGAACTTTGAGCAGCTTGTGATTGTAAATGGAATAAGTTGTAGCTAGTGGACTAAGATAGATGTCAAATATAGTCTCCTATCCAAATGTTGATTAGTTGCTAAGCCAAGTCTAATGAAATCACATGCAACTATAAAAGTTAGTAGAAATATTAAGTAATTTAAAGCAATTTAAATAAAGCAATGTCAGATTGGTTCAAGTTTAATGAGTTATGACATACTCGTAGAACTAAGTGAGTTATTAAACAAACGATAAAATATTGATAAAATGTTGTACATATGTATTAAATGCAATCAATCAAAATGGGCAGAGGTCTTAGAGTCTGTGTTATTGTATTCTTTTCCTGTAAGCACCTCTAAATTTCAAGGTTTCCTATGCCTTTGTATATCAATGTAGTTGTTGTAGAGAACATTTGGAATTTCCTTGATTCTAAAGTCTTTCATCTTTCATTTCTATAGAAAATTTGTGCATAGCATTCGTATAGCATCGTCTCATGGGACTCATATTTTTAAATCATGAAATCACAATGCAAACCGTGTTGATGTTGAACGGTTTTTTCCTCGAAACCAAGTCAACATTGCAAATCTTTACGTTTTTGTGCGACACAAGAAAAATGAAACCTGTTTTTTTAAGCGCTTTTTTATATGATCATACTCTTGCAATGGGGTTGATGCGCTTTCAAGATAGATTGGGGGTCACAGAATGGGGAATGGAGGGAGAGTGGTGTGATAGAAAGAATGGATTCTAAGTTTGGTGTGAAACTTGGAAAATCATTAGTTGTTGCATTAAAACCAAGAAAACAAAAAGATTCCAAAAAGGATAGACCGAAGAAAAATAGTTCTCAAGCAGAAAGGGATATCAGTCTGTGATATATTGTACATATCACATTTTCCCTACAACAAAGCTTAGGGCTTAGGGCTTATGGCGAGATCTGCCCTGCTAAAGATACATATGTATCTCTTCTACTCAAGCTATCTTTATTCAGTAAACCGGCTATCTCTAAGAATTCTTTTCAAACTAAACCTCATTATCTTCCCATAAGTACAATAAAATCTCTTTTAAATGGGAATCTACAGATTGTAGATGTCTCTTGTATCTTTTCCTCTTAAGCGGACATCTCTCTTAGGCAAACAAAATGCTCTACCCCATCTTTAAATCTTCAGAGTCTGCAATAGTTCTCTCTTAAAAATAATATTCTACTATAACCCCTACTAGAGTATTGTTCTCTTCGTTAGTCATGTAAGTCCGTTTTGCAGTCTTGTTTATTATTAAATACTTTCTTGTTTTTGCTGTCGTTGGATGCCTTGACGTAGGTTATAATTTGAATAAAACGTTGGCAATAATTAAGAATGAGAGAAAAATGTGAAAAAATAAGTTGAAAACAAACAAACAAAGTTCAGAACAAGCCCTGCTGTCCGACAGAATACAGATATGTGAAGTACATTTGTACGACAACAAGTACTAGAATATACTATATATTTGTATCTCTGTATCTCTGTACTATGTAGATATTGATTTAAGCAATTACCTGTCAAAGTAAAATCAACAGCTGAGTGGGGCAGATCGAGCGGGCAGTCTGCTATGGGTAAGGTGAAAAGTGGAATCCGTGTCTGGGTATCGTCATGCAGTTTGACTTTTTAATTTGCGGTGGGAGAAAAAACGTGGTAATAATAGGGAAAGATCAAGTCAATATTTCGACTAAGGGATACCTGCTTTTCAGGTTTGCTGTCTGAGTATCTGATATTCGGACAAAACTCAAACTCAAATACAAGGGTCGAAGATCTCTGGAAACCCGAATAATATTTCGTGAATTGTTTCATTTGCATTTGCATTTCATCTGTTTTAATATATATCGACAATTATAGGTTATAGGCTTTTCAATAACAAAGTATATTGTCTCCTTAAAAGTTAAGTTTTCTTAATTTTCAGGGATGGATTTCAAGCGATTGTAGTGATTTTTGGTTAATAGGTGGGTAGTATCTTTATATATTATCCTACCAAAAATTAGCCCTTTATCTTTCAAATTATAGATACTACAGAATTCTAAAGGGGTAAAGTATTCTGTCTCTAGATATTTTCGTCGCGAAGTCTACACACAAAACCAAACTCTATGTGACTCTTAGATCCTATAGCTGCAGAGATTAAAGTACGGATAGGCTTAGGTCTGATGGAGACCAAGAAAACACTCTGGTACACACTTTATTGGGTTTTAAGTACTTCACTCGCCCTGTCTCATACATACATAGCGTAAACCATTTACGACTGTAATATACCTTTTCTGCTCCAAGGTATACAGAAAACCGAAACTAAATAAAAGTGTTGTCGTGACAAAGTCGTTAGAAGCTGCCGCCCCGTAATAATAGATAGGGAGGAGGTCTCAATAAGGGTTTATTATACTGTCCAGCGATAGGTACGTGTATATCAACGGAATCCATAGAGCGTAACTCTAGAGATTTGAATGTTTCCAATAATATATAAGTTTTGTTGTTTAATTGTTGTATACATTATGGAACCTTTCATTATCATTAACAGACATGCACACACATGGCCAGCCAGTGTCGCCACACATACAGCGAACGAAATTCGCGAGAACAATTTTAATGTAAATATTTATTTATAAGAGGCACAGTGCTGTTGTTGTTTTCTTGCAAAGAGCAGCACAGCGAAGAGAGAGAGAGAGAGAGAGAGAGAGTCAGTAAGAGCGGAAGAGAGCGACACGTTGTGGTGATGACCACATCATACCGGTAAATTGATGTGAAATATACATATACTGAACAAATGATGTTGTTTTGTTGGCGCTGAGCAAATTTCCATAGAACTGGACACCCACACACACACACACACGTAAACTATTAGCAAATTGATGGACAAATTTAGGCACAGCGGGGGGGAGTTGTGTGTAGAGGGCCAAAGAGAGATGGGCGAAATTAATATTGAATTCAACTTGTTGATAAGAGGAGAGCAAATACCACGAAAACACACTCTCCACGCACGTATTTGATACAAGGTGGGGACTGTTCTTATGCACTTGCTCTTTTTGTGTTCGGTGTTCCATCGCAGAAAAGTACACTATCGTTTTAGAGCACACTCGAGACCCCACCTCACCCTGTCTTATCGCACCTTGCTCTAGCCTAGAAACACGCGCACTCACACACACACACGAACACCAGATACAGTAGCAGCAGCAGAGGGAGAAACAGCTTTAACGACGCAATTGTTGTTCCCCTTTTCAACTTGAAATGAATTAATTGTTATTGTAATTAGTCTCCTCTATTTTTTTTTAAACACACTTTTTACTTAATTCTCCTTTACCTAATGGTTTAGCTACACTTTGCTTTTGTTGATTTTGTTGGTTTTTTCGCACTTGTTGTTGTCAGCCTTTTTTTACTTTTAGTTTGTAGGTAGTTTTTGAAAAAGCGCGCCACACTCTCACACTTGTTGTTTTTGTTTCTATCTTCCTCTTCTGTTTGTTTCTTTGAATCAAAAGAGAGAAAGAGAGCCTTGGTCATAGGTCTGAATGTAACACTCCACTTAAGAGAAGATGCTGAGCGTAATCAGCTGTTGCAGAGGGAGAGTGGCAGGCAGGCGTACGGTAATCAGGTGTGCGGCGAGCGACAATACAGTATGCAGTAATTCACTGAACGGCGTTTCAAAAAACACTGAAGAGCTCCAGCCGAGCGCCGTTGCTTCAGCTGTTTGCGTCGCTCTGACGGCAAAAGAGAGATAGCGCGAGGGAGAGAGAGAGAGGCAGAGCTCCAATCGGCAAGATAGCGCTGAGCAGACGACAAGTGCGCTGCCCCGCCTGCGTTGACCGCTCTGCCGGCGCCCCAATCTGTTGTTGTTATCGCGTGTCTCAGCGCGTGCTGACAGCAGAAGCTTTTCTGTCCATTGATCCGCTCCCCCACACCACCTGGCAGGGCTGCAATTAATAGCGGAATCGATCTCTTCCGCTTAAGGGGGGCGATGAATCCAAACGACATTGAGCCATGTTTTTGCATATGTAGAACAGGGCTCGACACGCATATTTTTTCTTGGGCATCTCCCCTTGGAGTCACTTACTGCAATCCGAATCAACATGCAAACACATTTATGGAGTGATTACGGAACTGATTGGCTTTCCCCCCCGTGGCACAAAATATTGACAGAACATTGGAGAAAACAATGGCATCGGGGGTGCAAAGCAATTTCAACCATAAACTATAATGGATACATGATTGGGCCATAAAAATTATATGCTATTGAAGGTATTTTTTCGTATTGTTCAACGACGTAATAAAACAGGAAGGATACTTCCCATTTTCGAACTGAATGAAACGAGCTGTGAAGGTTTTTGTTTTTATTACAGATTAGTTATCGCTTTTATTAATATTCCCATTTGACTTAAAATTCATTATGTAAATATATATATATATTTATATATAGATGTGTATATATCATTTAGCATACAATTAGATTTACGTCTTTAGAGTTTCTCTGCCTGCTTTCATTCCCCTCCTAGATACAATACTCTACTCCTTCCCTACACAAATTTCCTTATAAAACCTGATAGCCAATGCATTACGATCTTCGCAAATAAATTTCTTCTAATAAAATTAACTAGAATTCGTATTCGTTCTTTCGCTTAAGGAAATTATAGTAAAGGCCATTTCTTGTTCAACTCCAAGACAAAGCTTTTTTTTGGGGGGGTTTGGATATTCGAGAAAGGGGCTGGTTGGACGGGACATGGGTCTGTGTCTGTGGGGCAGGTTCTCTGTGTGTGTGATATCTTTTCGATGAACCAAATGTGTAATATCAATCAAATCTGTGGACGGATATGCATTATACAATACAATTAGATGATGAAATTGGTTGAAAAAGTAAGGAAACTCAAATTCAATGATGGAATGGAACCAAAATCAAATGAAATTCTTCTTGTGACTCGTAAAACATTCTAAACCTCTTCCCCCTCTGGGTGTATCTTCCCAATTTGTGTATGTGTGTGCTCTTCTATTTTGGGTTTGTTTTCATTTTTCATTTTTCTCATTTTTTTTCGTTTTCTTTTTCGGTTTCTGTTTGGTTTATACATTTGTCGAAAATCCGTAAAATCGCTCCAAAAACTTGTTTTTAGTTATTTATTTCTGTTGTTTCTGTCGTTAGCTAATAAAGTTGCTTGTGGTTTGTCTCTCTCTCTGTTTTCTGTATATATACTATATTCTGGTATCTGAGCAGATTGACTTTGTTGCAAGAATATACGATGTACGTGTACAATGTACGAGTACGAGTATCATTGAGTTAGTCTTAAGTGTATCTAAAGCCAAGCATATCGTTTCCCAAAAGACAAGTCTTCTCCTCCGACAAAATCAAAAACGAAATCAGAGATCTCAAATTAGCATACTAAAAATGGTGTTGAAGGTTTTCTACCTCTCTGCCTAACAACAATGCCCAAACGTTGGACACGTTTTTGAATAGTGAGCGAAAAGATTGGCGATTGAGAAATGGGTTTACTCGTTTCTCAGGTGGCGTTGAAAGGGGGTTTGATCTTCTTTCTCTACCATCGCTCTTGAAGCTTCTCTATAGGTATACCTCTTCGAAGGTCTCTCCTTATCGACGCCTCTGTAGCTACTCGCAAAAGCTAATCTCTCGACACACATGGGCCTCCACTCTTATCGGAGCTGGCTGCCAATGGCAAGACATTTTCGTACTCGTATTTATGGGTATAAACACGCAAAAACCGGCATGCCATCGGCCCCCAAAAGACAAGCGCGACCAGAAGTTCACGACGGGTTTCCCAAGTTTACACAAACATCGCCCGAACACCATCCAAAAATACTATCTGTAGGGCCAACAACTCGACTGATAAGCCACGATATCTATCATTAAACGGTAAAACTGTTCAAATTAAAGCATAAATCGTAGTCTCAGAACGTAATCTGTTTTGGTTTTCCTTTTTTTGGTTGTCTTATGCGAGTGCGTAAATAAAGAGTGTCGAATTTTGGTTGCTACTTCCATAGGCTCTATATGGTTAAGGGTTCTATCAAAACTACAGCATGGGCTTCTTTATATGGTAGCTTTTGTAATCTGTATTCTGTTTTTGGTTTTTTGTTGCCTGCCTGACACACCAGAACGAGCTTCAAATAAACTTACAATCGTGTTTGCTACTTGTGAGTGCTATATGTTAACCGATTTTGATCTAATTTGGCATAATCATGTATAGTACGTTAAGTATCTTTAAGACTTGTGTTTCCATGGCAGCTATATGGTATTGGCAAGCAATTTTGATTACTAAGGAATGTTTCTTAACGATACGAACATCACTAGAACAGACCTCATTAGGAGACTCCGTTGTCATCTTTGTTAACTATGCATATGATAATGTTAACCAATATCTCAGATGGGGCTGAAAGGCGGATGGGTGTATTTATAAGCCTGTCCACTCGATATCTTGTTTGTTTCTCATCTCTTTGCAAGTTTCTGTGAAGTATATGCGAACCCCATTTTATTTAAAAACTTGCTCTGAGCTGTTGTTTTGATGTCAACCAATTCTGATTGGGGTCGTTCCTGTTTTTAATAATGATAAATGTGCTAATTTATCGCAATTACTAATGCTAACATATTATCTTTTATCGATTGTTAGCAGCGATCGGTTAACATTGATTTTAGGGGATGAAATCTGGTAGAAATCTGTGCAGAATTACATATAAATGACAAGATGAAAATCTTTAATAGTTAATAAAAATATAAGTTATTTGAAAATTATTCGTGTAACTCCTCCTTTAACAGTGATCTGATCTCAACGTATTTTAGGAATGAAATTTCATAGAAATCTGTAAAGAATTGCATATCGATTGTTGTTCAACTGAAGAACAAGCTTTCAACGATTTACAGATTTATAGATCTGTTCAAGAATGGTTGGAATTTGAGAAATTAATAAATAATTGCTCATCAATAGATTTTAAATGAAGGATTAGAAGTACTATCCTTCTATTCTGTTGAAACTTTTCAAGAATTCTTAGTGGGTTCTTTAAGTTTACATCGTGTAGAAGAATACTCTTAGAAGTCTGTCAAAGAATCAAAAATTAGTTAATTATATCTGTTGGAATATCCCTTTGGGGTTCTATAAGTTTTAGCTTCTTGTAACTCCTGCTAAAAATAACTCTATTCAAGGCCCCCGATTTAAGATCATTTTTCAGTGTCAGGCAGGCTTTCTTCTGTTAGATAATTATTAAATATTAAATAAGTTAATTTCGATTCGACAAAAAGGAAGATTTTTGTGATATTTCAATACACACACATACACACACACACACGCACTGATGCACACACAAATACACATGCACGCTGGTCACTAATACTAATATACAATATAGGCTATACAGTGTTGTTGTTTTTTTTGTTCTCATATATAGAATGCAATCCTTAGTTGATCTTGGGCTTGTTTTCTTTAAGTTTTTCTGAAAAAATATGCTTTGGTTTTCTTTTGTTTTTGTTTCTTCTGCTTACGAACTACATTTATCCCACATTGCTCTAAATATGTTTTGTCGGTTTGTAAAATATACATACATATACAATATATAGTACATATATAGATAGATCCTTATGTTCAGTTGTAGATATAGAAAATGTTTCTGTTTTCTCAATTGGAATAGATATATATATAGTACACATATAAGAACTATACTCGTATAAGAACTGCCCGATCCTCTGATCGATCGTAATTTACATTTGAGTTCGCTTCAAGGGGTGTCTAAAATTATAGTGTGTGTGTTTGAGTTGAGAGTAGAGAACCAAGGAGATTGGCAATGATATGGTATAGATTATAGATCCATAGTTTACGCGGCGAAATCAAAATCCACTGAAGATCATCCGTCCGTCTGTCTGTTTGTCTGTCCGTCTGTCTGTCTGAGAGGAACATAATTACAAATGAGTGAGAAGAAGTGAAGTTCTTCCTGGGGTTTCCTCTGTCCTTTATCGGCGGTGCGAGTGCAGGTTGCTCTCCACCCACTTGTAGAGCGACGTCTGGGATCGGGCCACCCACTCGACATTGGAGGCCACACTGCTGAGGGTCATGTTCAGCACGGACATGCCCTGGCCCCTGCCAAAGCGATGTACCAGCGATTTAAGCTGATAGAAGAACATAATCGTTAGTACATGTAACGATTTCAGAGATCTATAGAGATGCCATACCTCATCGTAATCGAATTTTGTGGCTCCGTATTGGGTGATGGCCGAGATCACCTTGGCAAAGCTGATCGTTCCCGGTCCCAGGCGCTTCTCCAGCTCGAACCACTTGGCCTGCAGGAAGCGACAGGCCATGGCCCCACCTGTGGGCGTACCAGCAATCGCCTTGAGCACCTGCACCACCTCCTCTGTGGGCAGCATGGTCACGTGCGACAGCAGCCGGTTCTGCAGCCAGGCATCCTTGGTCCTGCCCAAAGCACGCAGCAATTGCATTCGCTCGACGAATGTCTCGGAGGTCCGCTGGAGGGTAACGAAGCGCTCCCAGCAATGCTGCCAATAGATATACTCCCCGGAGAGAATGGAGCCCGTGTAGACCACCTAAAAAATGAATGCAATTTGTTAGCTCTAATCCGGCTGGACTCTAAGAACTACTTACCTCTCTCAGGTTGGGCGCTATGGCCGATCCATTATAATACAGATACTGATTCAACATATTCTTGGCCTTGGTTATGCTATCAATATCCTCCCACAGCACCGATGCCAGCAAAACTTCGGGTCGCATCAATCTGTAAGCCAAAAGGAATCGATCAGAGATCTTTTTTGGGGGATTAATAGAATGTTGCTCTCACCTGGCAGCCACATCGCCCTCATCCGTCCAGCCCACCTTCTCCATAACCGTGGAGATCTTCATCTTGATGAATTCACTGAGCATCAGGAAGCACTCAGAGTACTTGAGTATCCGTCGCCACTTCTCCAAATGCCTCAGAGCCAGGGCCATGGGTCCATAGTTCGTTTCGCTGGGCAGATACTGGATCATGTTCATGGTGATCTCGCAGGGCAGCAGATTGGCATGGCACAGTGTGAAGGCATCGGACAGCAGGCCCAAGCGATCCTAAGGGAAAAAATGATCTATCAACGATGTTCTTTCGGTGGGAGGATTATTGGACTTACCTCGCTGCTGAATCTGTTGGGATTATTGGATAGTTCTTCGATGAGATTTGCCCAGTTATCGTCGTTGTAGACCACGCGATAGTAACCATTTTGTATGGCATTCACCTTGATCCACTTGACGTTCTCCGGCACATTGAAGTTTACTGTAGAAAAGTGTTCGGCAATTAGTGATATTTTAAAGTTATAGGAAAGGAAATAGTCGTGGAGACACTCTGAAAGAGTTTATAAGAGTTGTTCTATATACAGGAGATTATATCAAAATGATTTCTGGAAAGGTTTATATCCTATGGGTTCTATCTTGAACTGTCTTTGAAATTTATGGGTTTAATGAGAGAACAAAATTTCTAAATATTCTGATAAAAACTTGATCAACTGAACATCGAGAGGAGTCTCTTTGCGGTATTGTAGTGCCTCTAGCTATAAAAGCCTCAGATATCTTTGAGCTTAGACAGATGAAGGGTTTTAAAATGAAAAAATGTCCAAAATGTATGAAATCGATGAAAATTAGCATATATGTGACACAGATTAGAGTTCTAAATCGACCCACAGATATACTTTGAATCACTGAAACATGGGATCCTAGAATCAATAAAGAAAGACTCATTTACTCCGGAGCTATGCAGGTTTCTAGAACAGGTGGCTGTAGATAGGGGTTTCTATCTAAAGTTGGATATGTCAACATCTAGCCGTAAAAAAACCAAAACTTACTATCCACATTCTGCATCCACAGGGTTTCGCTGACGTTGTTGATGTCCGTCACATAGGTGACGGGGAAGATCCATTTCATGTGCGGCGCCGCCTTGTGCTTGCCCTGGGGCGTGGGGGGCACTGTGCTGGGCATGTCGGTGGCATTCAGGGAGGTCTTGTTGTAGTTGTTGCCGTCGTAGGAGTCGTCGTGGATGGCTAGAAAGTCGGCGGGCCTGAAGGGGCGCTGTGATATGGAGACGCTGTTGCCCATTTTCGTGACGGTGAGGAGGGGGAAGCCAGGCTGGTGGGTCCACAGGGTCATCATGTCCTTGATGTTCTTCGAGCCGTTGGCCTTTTTGGTGCAGATGGTCCAGAGATCCGTCGGTTCGGCGGTCTTGAAGCGGTTCACCTTGAGGAAGGAGCCCAGGCAGCCGCGGAAGCGATCCTCCCCGATGGCCGTATGCAGCATCGAAAATATGGCCGCCGTCTTCTGGACAAAGAAGTCCTCGTTCTTGCCATCGTGACTGGTGCCGTTCATGATGCTGTCCCAGCCCTGGATGGCGTCGATGTCCAGCGCCGCCGTGGCCATCTTCAGCAGGTACATCTCCCTCAGGGGCCAGCTCTCCTGCAGCGGGGCGAGGGCATGGATGCCGAGGTACTGGATGAGCCCCTCCCACAGCCAGACGTCCTTGAGCACCTTGCGGGAGGTGATGCCGCCGAAGAACTGCCGCACCATGGCCTCGGCAATGCGCAGGGCACTGAACTGGTACTGCTCCGATGTTATGGAGCTGGGGTCCGTGAGGAAGGAGGTCTTGAGCGTGACCAGGCCCAGCGAGGAGATCATGTTGCGGTCCAGCGAGGGCAGTGCCACAAAGTCCACCTTGGTCAAGGGATAGCTAATGTCCAGCCACGTCTGCAGGTACTCCAGCACATCCCGCGATGTGTGGAGTATAAACGAAGAGCGGACCAGCAGATCCCGCGGCGCATAGAAGGTGTACGATGGCGCTCGCTTGATGGAGGAGCCCGTCGACTGCGACAAGGAGGTGAGATTCGTGGGCTTCCCGTTCCCATTGAGGCTCACGGGCAGGGCTGTCGTTGTGGTGGCCGCCGCTGCAATTTGGCTGAGATTCTGGCGCGGCGTGAGGTTCACGTTGAGCGAGTGCGTCAGGGCAGTGATGTTGCGGACGGGCGGGTTCTTGCTCTTAAGCTGCGTGTAGTTGTTCAACTGCGCGGACTTCTTGCCACCGGCCCCCGTGCTGTAGGGAGCCGCTGTGGTGGGTATGTAGGCGGCCGAGGGCTGCAGGGATTCACGCTGGAAGTCGCTCACCACCCAAGCCACGGCATCGGCGGGCAGGGCAGGAGTCTCAATGAAGTCATCCCGAAGCTACAGGAAAATATCAAACAGTTATTTTCCACAGGTTATTAGTATATCTTTTTGGAAACTCACCAATCCAGTGCCCATGTAGAAGCCCACATCTTCGGTGGTGTGCACAATGGAGTTGGAGAGACCGATGTGGAAGCGATCGCGGAACACGGATATGCGGAAGGGGGCTCTCACATGCGGCTCATCGAAGCAGGGGAAGGCCCGTCGTGCTCCATTGGGTCGGAAGACAGTGGCAGCCAGTAATCTGTAAAATAAAGCGATCAAAATGGACTCGAACTATAAGAAATCTACTGCTAAAAATACTCTGACAGGGTTACGGACATTTCTGATCAAAATTCCATGAACTTTAATCGTTTTCCTATCTCTAAAACTATCTGATTATGCTGAAAAGTTGTTGATGCGTACGTAGATAGTATCTATGTTTATATCTACGCCAAATTATAGAGTGATATCTCTTTAGCTGTAAGAGCTATAGACAAAAGTTTTCGGGAGTGTAACGGCCCGAAACTCGCAGAAGTGATATCCCCCTTGGGATTCAGACATACAAAGTACTAACTATAGCCGTACCTTTCCACACCATTGGAGCTCTCGTACTGGTCCACATAGAAGCCCTCCGGTTCGGGATTCAGTTTCGAGTACCAGCGGAGGTTCAAGGTGTAATTGGACTTCTTCTTGAGCTTCTCCTTCACCTCGATGTAGAGCTGCTGGCGGGGCGGAAACTCGAGCACCTTGACAATCTTCAGGGCGTATCCCTTCGGTCCAGGGGTCACAATGGCCTGCAATGGCAAATGAAAAGGAAAATAAAAGCAATCAATGGATGCACTCAAATCGCGAATCGGATGCTAATTGGCCTAATTGGATTGCTTTGCTTTGCTTTGCTTTGCTTACCTTCTCGGTGACGTTGAGGTCCTGGATGTGCAGGACAATGAAATTGGTCTCCTTCTCAATGTGCAAATCGATGGTGACTTGTCCTGGAAATCGAGAGGAGGCGGAATGAATGTCAGACAATCGAATTATAATCAGGGCAAAATTGCGCTCTCGACTCTCACCTTTGACGTCCAACGTCGTCAGATTGGGATGGATGGTGACCATGTACCTGAGGGGTCGGGCACTGGTGGGCAGCATCTTCTCGAGCCAGGGGAAGGGCTCCCCGTTGGTGGCAATCGGATTGAAGGGCTGTGTGTTGTTCTCTTCATCCGTTTCATAGCCGGACACGGTTTTCGTCCCGCAGGAACAGTCTGCAAAAGGATAGCCAAAGAGAAAAATCATTACGGGTCCTCGATAAATCATCTTTCTCATCTCCGATTCGGGGAATTCATTTTGGGGGATTCGTGGCTAAGTATCTTAAAGCAAATTGCATTATACACAATCAACAGAGAGATAGAGAAAGAGGGGGTTTAAAGGGGGAAAAATCATCTAGGGGGTATCAAAGAAAAGCTAGCAGTAAATCAGTTATATAATTGGATTCGTTTCAAGTCATTAGCACATCTAAGGGGTGGAACAAAACTCAAGTTTGGGTGTCACAAATGGAGTTTCTTTCTGGCTGAATGTCGCGAAATATGGGGGCTTCGAATCCGATCGAATCTTCAGTGGAAAATGAGAGGACCACGATGAATCTCGATTCAAGCACCAGTTGAATGCTTGAATGATTGGGAAAACTAATGAATCTAAACCATTGACAATTGGTATCAATCATAAGAAAATCATCATAAAATTCTACAACACGAACGGAGGAAATAATATTCATACAAAGCCCAAAATAAACTCAAGTAATTTGTATTTAATACAAAAATTAATTCCATCATATGATATAACCAGATACATGTATATGGGGATATATGGGGTCATTTTTGAAGGGTTTATGGGCACGAAAGCTTAGAATTAATGATATTCGTAATGCTAATGCTAAAAGATGTGTTCTTAAAGTCTGTTCCGTATGGAACATATGGTTTCCACGCACAAATATCGTCGTCCCCGAGTGAAATTTTATTTTCACAAATACAAATGTGGATCCCAGATAATAAAATACAATTTCAGGCGACGACGACGATCCAAATCTTTTTTATAAAATAGAGAGATATTTGTAATATATTCAACAGGTACCAACTTCTTAGTTGGGGGCACGAAAATCGTTATAAGGCGTGTGATAAAAGAGATGTGACCAATACCTTTACCTTACCTTATCAACGACATAAAACAAACGTACAGTCGACATATATATAACACTCAAGCTAGAATGTTCTTGTTTTGCACCTCAAATACAAAGAATTTAATGACAGTGGAGTCGGGTCACTGGAGGTGAACATGGAATCCATAAAAAGGGCCGGGAAGGATTTCCCAAAACTTTGGGACGTGTTTCGCAGTGGGGTTATTGCTGCGTAAAAGTAGGATTGTTCGGTATGTTCTCATTCTCAAAAAATATAATAATTATAAAGTTTTGCTATTCAAAATGGAGGAATGGAAGTGCTTATGTATATTTCCTCAAAAGCTAAAGGAAAAACATACCACACGTATATACAAATAGTGGAAAATTCCACTCTTTTTGTATTCCGTTCTTAATTCTATTTTATACTTTAATTACTAATAATTCTATAATATTATTTTCCCTGTTTTTTTATGGTTCTTTAATGAATTCACCCACTTTATATGACATTTTAGAAACATAACCTACTTATGTTCGATGACTATGAAGAGAGATGTAGAGTATGTACAATGTTTAATGTCCTCATCATTTCTAGGACGATTCCATCTAATGTAAAGATCATCTAGAGACCATACATACATACATACATTACGTAAGAAACTAAGACAATAATAGGATAAGAACAGAACAGAACAGATAGTAAGGAAGGAACCAACAGATGATCAATGACATCAACATGCCGAAAATGGTTATATAGAATGTCTTGATTAATTACCAGTTTAGAAGTATTCGGTTATTTGGCATAATTGTTACTCACATTTCAACCAATCAATCAAACAAGCATTTAAGAGAAATATTTCATATTTTTTTGTTCAAATATTCATATGTATACGATATATTCAAGAGCCGTTTCGTATACGGAAACGGAGGAGGAGAAACGGAAACAGAAACGTCAAATGGGAAAGAATGAAAGGAAACAAAAAACAATACAGATATTTGTTTCTTATAGATGGAGATATAGTAGATACGAGTATATATACGGTATAGATGAGGTATTGTATAGAGATGTACAGGAAGAGAAATATCAATACTCTAATTGTAGCGGAGGAAGCGAAAGATAACTTTGCACGTACTGGGGGACATGTTGATTGATAATTGAGTTGGAAAAGGGTTGGACCTGGCTTTTAACCCGGACATATGTCTGTGTACACAACCCCCACACGTGCATGCATCCACAGCCCCAGGCTCGACCCGTGGGGTAATGCAATTAGCCCCCCTGATGCCCCATTAAGTATGCAACAGAAAGTTTGCATGTGTTTGCACTTTGCATAATTCTGCAATTGAATCCGGGACGACACCACACCACAGATGCAGGTCGAGGCCTACGGCGCTGTAACTTAGGTCGTCATACGATGCACCACCACGAGAGTTACTGCCAGAGGTAAAGCCCTGTCTATTTATACCCGGAATGAAATGGATTCCGCCTTGGCCCCCCACTTAATATGGTTAAAAGCATATTACATGCCACCAAAAGAGGCAAGGGCGAGGGCCCTGGAGTTGATTGGATGGCTGCTTTATGGTCCGCAGTGACCGCCACTACGAACGGAATTCAATTACCATTTATAGAGATTTATGATGCCGCAGCTCTTTTATGGAGCCACCGCGGTGCACCGTTCGAACAGAAGAAAGTTTTATGGGTTTGTTGCTGGCATTACTTAATCGATATCTATAGAAAGTAGAGTTCGGCCAAGGTCTGCGGTGTGCCCTTACTCCTTTAATTTCCCATTCGATTCTTGGATGTTCTTCTATAGGAGCTTATCTTTTATTCTCGGGGTCTTTAATGGAAGTATTATTGTAATAATAAGGAGGACTTTTCCTGTGCTCTGTTAATCCTATTCTATCCTAGTCATATAGGTTTTTTTTTATTCCACTTTCCCAGAAGTAAGTTTTATAAAAGAAGTTGTACACAGGACCTGTCCTGACATAAAATAAGTTGAAAAATAAATTAAATTGTGACATTTTTTCCTTGTCGACTCTTTCACCTTTGTGAAAATCATCCTCTGTAATCTTTTATTATAGTCACCTTTTCTATCTCTTTTTTTTCATATTTGCAGAGCTATACAGGAGCTTCCACTAGAGCTCTTTAAATTACATTTTCCCCATCAGAACTGTCAAAATTTTCGTAATTCTTTCTTTCTTTGTATTCAGAAAAGCTCTCCCCTTGCAATCGACTACATATCCGTTGGCGCACAGTAGATACAAAAAAATGGGGATAATCGAGCGACGGCAACGAGGATAAACCCCATCCTTCCTTTGTTTTGTTGCGGATGGAATGGAAATAAGTACGAAGGGAAAATGGTCGACAAAAAATAGGCAAGGAACAAAGGCAAAGAAATGCGATGTGGGGTGTGGGGGGTGTGGGAGGCGCAAGGGTAAATATGGACGTGGTTCAACCTACCGTTCGACGGTCCGGCGTAGGCAATGATGATGGCCGTCAGGAGGAGGGAGCCGAGCACGATCCCGGCCACCAGGAGAGCCCGACGCTGCGAGCAGACGGCGACTCCGGTGCGCGTCTGGCGGCCTCCACTCGATTCGCCACCTGTGGAAATGTAATTAAAAAAAACTGAATAAGTACTAGACAAAGAGTGGGTGTGGGATTACTTAAATATTCATTTAATGGAAATGGTTGCAATTGCAATTGCTGTCGCGGGGGACGACGGGACTGTACCCCAGCGTAGGAGCTTACCTGAGAGAAATGCACAGTCATCGAGGTCCGGATCATTTGTCATTTCGATGCGCTCGCGACGCCAAATCTTCGAGCCTCTACGGCCACCGCCGACGACCGAAATCTTAACGGGGCCGATCTCTCTTTGTCTTCCGGCCAATACGCACGCTTATTCGCCCGTGTCCGTAAACAAAATCGTGCTCAAAACCGGAAACAGTATCGGATCGGAACAAAATCAAACCGCAAACACACACCGCAAATAATTGTCAGCCTATTTGCTCTGGAAATGGGAAATCACGAACCAATTTTTATGACCAATTCAGGTGGAAACCAGGGACCAGGGACCACAGCCCAGAATCCGAACCCTTTGCCAGACCCATGCAGCAGCCACGTGCTCTTCATATTTTATTCAGGGGCCCAGGCCACAGGCACAGACTTTTTCGCTGTGTGTTTTTTACACCCTTTAACCAACCAATAAATCGACTGCCAAAAAATGAAGCTCTACCCAGAAATACATATACATATACATACATAATTTATGCCGTCATCTAGAGGGGGTCGGTCCTACGTCCCACGTCCCACGTCCCACGTCCTACCCCAACCTCTGTACTTGGCTGGCCCCGTTGGAGAGCATTTTCTACTTTCCGCTTTCCTTTTGGGCCTGGCCACCAGCCAGAAGCTGACGCCCTTCCGGTTTCGTCTAGTCAGACGTCCGCTCTCGTCTGGCACCCTGTCCGCCTCCGCCTCCGCCTTCGCTTCCACTTCCCCCCCTTCTGAGAGATTGCAGACAGAGCCGCACCGCACTTTTCGCAATTTTCAATGTCGCATTGAATTAGTGAAAAGCGCTTTCAACGCCCAAAAATCAACCCCCCAAAATGTGCAGCCATCTCTCTCTCTCTCTCTCGCAGGCTCTGTGTTAGCCGGCTTTTGTATAGAATAGTAGGAGTAGGTATATCTGCATTTCTGTGTCTGCCTTTGACGAGCACTTGAGCCTGAAGTTTGTTTCGTGAAGCATCATCCAGACATAATTCGTGGTTAAGGTCTCTGGTACCAGAAATGTTGGAATGAGCCACCAACTACGAGTAGATTTGAGGCACTTGCCAATCAGCAAATGGCAGATAAAGCACAGAATATGAATCAGCGGTTGCTATCTGACGCAGTGGCACTGATTGCAGTGCCCTATCTATAGGCTCGTCGAGCGGTCACACGTAGAGGCCAAAATAACATTTTGACTCTGCCCCAACTTCAGCAAATATTTAATATATATTTATTTATGTAATATTATTTACTTATTATTATTAACTTATTTACTTCCTCGATAAGTAGACTAGTCTCTAGCCTTTCCTAAAAGTGCGCCATGCGGCAGCGGTAATTCGTTGCAAACTTCTTTCATCCGCAAAATATTTGGAAAGCTTAATATCAATTCAATAGAATTATTACAATTACAATTAGTTTGCTAATATATCTCGAGAGAGATTTGAAAATAGCTCTGAGATCGGTCTAACAGACCGTCTAGACATCAGAATCACCAGAATCATCAGAATCAGCTATTTCATCACACCACCTCTATATTACCAACTCTATATTACCACCTCTAGCTGAATAAAGACATACAAGTAGGATTAAATAAGAGGTTCTGCTAAATAAAAGATGTTACTTTTACTCTACTCGTATTTCCTTATTCCTTTAGTAATATAGAGGTGGTTTGGGGAGATGTGAGTCCACTACGTTAATATCCACGAGGATTCCGGCAAACTACTACCCTGCTAGAAACAACGTCACAACACGACAGATCCCACATTTTATATATATATCCTTCGACATAGTAATAGAATAAAGCAATCAAAAGAGAAGCCATTCAGCAAGTGAGAAAATGGAATGGAAGAAGTATTTGAAAACCCCAACATTTCAATATAATATGATAATAATAAAATGCATAAGGTAAAATATAGCGTGAAAGCAAACCCAAGAATCCACTGAGCCCGTCGACGATGTCGCGGTCGTCGGCACCCATAAGTGCTTTTCGACATAATCATTAGATCATAAAAATTTTGTAAAAAGCTACAAACTAAAGTCTTGACTCAGAATTTTTTGGAGCAACACGCAAAGATTAAACTCTCTAGAATAATTGAATTGAAATTCTAAAAAGTAACTCCCTGGTTATAATCCTCAAGAATGAGCTTTGGCTCTGTTTTGAGCCGCTTTTTACCGTTGCCGACTGGCGTCATAGCGGGAAGATGGCGGTTGGTAACTGCTAGGTTAGCAGGCAGTGCGAGCGAGAGGTTAAACACATCGTTCTGCCTCGCTCTAAACAATTATTAATGCCAATGCCGGGATTAAAATCCAAGTTGAACAAGTAGGACGTGGTTATAACATGATTGTATTGGAAAACATTATAGTATAGCGTGTTCTCTCTCTTTCTCTCTTTGTTGGCCTTCGTGACTGGTGCCAATGCAGCAACAGAGCCGCTCTATTAATTTTTTCCGTTCCCCTCTTACCAAATTGCGGCTAGGGCACGCAAGAATAGTGCTAATGCATCTCACAATTCCCTTTTAATTACTTATGTACACATGTACATACTTGTATGTATGCATACTCTGCCTGTCGGAGTACATACATATGTGCATATCTCAATTTCGGATGATCGGGAATTCAATATTTGGGTCGTACTGGAATGCAAGAAGAATAAATGGAGCGGAAGGAAGTGCTCGACAGTGATGAAGGAATTTCATGGTATCTCTATGTGTCCAAAATGGCTAAAAAGGAAAATATATCAGATACAAATTGGCTGTGGCATTTAGTCCCAAAACAAAGTTATATCAGCGATATATTAAGAATAATTTCCACTTCAAAAACCTCCTTTTGGACCTCTACGCCTCCTGCTCATGACTGTTCATGAAAACTTGCAATAGCTGCAATAGGCAATTGTCTTTTGAAACGCTATGAAGTCACTTCTTGAAGGGTATCAAACGTTTCGACCCAAATAGCTAGTGTTCTGTTCTTGTTTTATTTTCCAGCATTTATTTGTTTACATTCTCATTTTCTCATTCGTGGCATTGTTGTTGGCGGACAAGAAAAAAAAACGCAGAACGAGCTTAGAGCGGCATTGAGAGAGAGAGAGAGAGAGAGAGAGAGAGAACGGATGTCATGGAAGTTTCCAAAAAGAGAGCCTCTCTCTCGCATTGAAATCAGTGTTTTGAAAATGTCAAAATGCAAAAAGCTCAACAGCGCGAATTTTCCTTTTTGATGCGTCAACTGCGTGTGTGTGGGTGTATGAGTGTGTGCGACTGTATAAGTGAATTTCCTGTTTTGTCTTATGCCGCGTTTTCTTCGCTCGCTCCGCGGCGGCAGCGACAGCGACAGCGACAGCGGCAGCAGCAGCAGCGGCAGCGGTACTTCTCTTTGTATGCGCGCATATATATGTCAATAGTGCGCTTTCCAGTCCTCTTCTATGCTGCTTCTTCACGTCTCCCGCTCCTTTTCTCGCTGTGCCTGCTTACCCTCTTCTTTTTGCTTTTTTCACCGTTCAGCTGCTCCTTTTTTCCCCCTTTTCCTTGCTAGCTTTGACACTTGACTGAATTGCGGTTCTATGGCTCTCAGCTGCATTCTCGCTTTCTCGCCAAATGGCGACAGGCAGGGGGCGACAGAGCAGAACCGTTCATTATTCCATTTCGCTTTTGTGGGCTCAATTAGTTCTGTTCCTGAGGCGACATTTGAGCACCGCTCTCTCCCTCTTCTGCTTGTTTCGTCTATTCTTCCGATTAGTGACTGTAACTGTAAATATGATGAGCTTGTTGCTGGCTTTGTTGGATCTGGCATTGGGTTCATTTCAATTCATATTGGGAACGAGTTCGTATCGGAAATGACGTGGGTCCTTATATTCATTGATTTCAAAGAATAAATGTATGCGGTTTTTGCACACTTTTCACACAAAAAAACTAATTGCTAATTACTTTTTATTTACAGCAATTGATTTGTACCGTTATTCACTTTTTTCTTTCTTTTCGGCAACTTCGTTCTTTCTCTTTCACTCTATAGACACGCACAGCAGCAGGAGCAGCAGCAGCAGAGGGTGGTGTTGAAGGATGGGGATATTGGGGATTTGGGGAAGCACGCGACGCATTCGTTTCGTAGTGTGTGAGTGTGGGTGTGTGAGTATGTGTGCCTTTTGCCGAATATTCCTTGCTGTTTCCTTCTTTCTGCCTTTCTTTCCGCCTTCTGTGTGTGGTGCTGTTCCCGTTTTGTCACGCGCTTTTTGTTGCGTTTGAGTGCGCGTACATTTTCCAACTGGATGCTGCCGCTGCTGCGAGCCGCCTGCAGAGCGTGTCGTCCTCCAAGGGCTCCAACCCTGAGAGAAAGTGCGAGAGAGTGCAACCCTAATGGGTGTCCATGCGCATGTGTGCTTTCGCGCTCTCTCTCTCTCTCGCTATGCTCTTCCTCTCTGAGTAAATTTTGCTCACCTGCAAAAATGAAAATGAAATTTCTATGGACCCCTCGCGTGTGCTCTTTGTCCCCCCCCGCTCGCAGGCGATGCTTTGGGGAGGAGAAAGAGAAGAAACAACAGTGTGTTGTAGAGTGTTGCCAGGCAAACGAAAGCCAGCGGTAAATATTGCAACCCTTAAACAGCAGCAGCCCTGCCTCCAAACAGATATTTCTCCCCCTCGCCCCCCACCGTCGAAAATGCAGTGTTGTTTATCATGTGTTTTTGGCCAAATAGTGTTCGTGTACCATCCATGGCATTCGACTTGTTCGTGGAGTGGGATCATCATTAGAACAGTTCTCGTTTAAGGGATGGGATGGGCTTTCGGTTCTGTGCTTTAACATATCATTTCCGCTCATTTCATCTCCTCACCCAGCTCCAGCCTGTCCTTTGA